TATCAGTTTGAAGGCGAGTTATCCATCTCGAGAATTGTACGCTAAGTTTGGGACCTGCCACGTAAAAAAACGTCCCCAATGAAAAAGACACTACAGCCATGCAAACTAATCGCCTTAGTGACTAATGACCAGAGCATACTGAAAGTATGGAGGGAACACTTATCCAGCTTGCTGAATGGCAGTGAAAGCATAAAATGGAGATGGTGAACTACAGCTCAAGAATATCAAAGCAGCGGCACCGATGAACTCCCGGCCAAGTTGTTCTAAAACGGCGGCGATGAACAGATAAGTCCATCTACCGTGGGATGAACCTTTTCAACATCGCATAGTATAAGGTTATATTGAGCGCGATTTGTGAAAGATTAAAGTCCAGCGTCAATGATATTGACATCATCGGCCTCAACATCAGCGCCGTTAGTTCTGCTTTCTCCAGACTGGACAAGGAAGCAAAACAAATGGCTCTGGCAGTGAACGAGGGCAAGACGAAATATCTCCTGTCATCAAACAAACAGTCGTCTCACTCGCGACTTGGCACTTACGTCTCTGTTGACAGTCATAATAGTCGTCGATAGTTTCGTCTATCTTGGAACCAGCGAAACCACAACCAATAATGTCAGCTTGGAAATCCAACACGGGATAACTCTTGCCAACAGACACAGAGGATCCTATTTCATTAACTGAGAATGAAAATTAATATACCATCTGATAGCAAACCATCTCACTTATATCCAATAATTTACTGAAGAACAATGCTTTTGAAACCGCTTCCATAAAATATTGAGATAACATTGAAGGATGTGGCAATGCAATTAGCTGAAAAAATAGAGCACCGAGTTTTCACATTCTACTCATCTCATCTTCAGGAGAAACCTTAGCTATTAAGGTGTAGTACTAAAAAATAAGTTTATATACGTCTCTGAAAATTTTCTAAAACTGTCAGATCATTTAAGTTGTATTTTGTTAGATCACATCAACCTTTTTTCCCAGTAACATCTATCAGTTCTTGCAAGCAATATTGTACCTTATTGTTATCTAGTTAAGATATTCCGACGATTTACAAGTAGGTAGGCAAAATGGTTTCTTAGGTGTGTTCGTTTTCACAACTCTATATAGTCCGAAGCTACTACAAAAGAAATTACCTCGAGACGATTTCACCAGATCTCCAGCAGTCGGCTTGAGATTGTCCTAAATAAGGAATGTGAACCAAACATTAAAGACATGATTACCCTGAAATTAGGCATAGAATATTTCTGTCATCCAGAATTTCAGTTCCATTTTATATGAGGTGAGCTCACAGAACTTTTCTTCAATCTTTTACAGTTTAGTGGTCAATTCGCGAGACTAGCTGTAATGGAAATTTTATTTTATTTTACCTAATTCCTCTTTATACTTCATTGCAAACTCTCAAAACTTATTATGAACCCTGGTATTTTAACGTTTTCCTTACTGAATAATAAAAAACCATGAAAGATCAAAATAAATATTATTGTCATTTGTTGTTGTGCGGCGCGGTATGTCCCGTTATTCGTGGGTGCATAAAAAAACTTTGTGGCAAAGCAAATCAACTAGAAACACACACATGGTGTAAAAAGCGGTCAGACGAATAGTGAAGCTGTAAGCAAAAAAATTACGAAATCGAAAAAAATTAATTTTATTAAAAGTGCATAAAAAGAAAGGAATCCACCGGCGGAAGTATTGCAAGCCGCCGCAGAAAAAGTGCAACCTACCAATAAAATATTGGCATTGTGGCAATAAAACATCACAGGCGATTAATTTCATGAACTGGCAAGTGAAATCACAAATAGATTTATGGCATGCAACAAACATTTATACACAAACTCAAATGTAAATAAGTATACTTTTTTGCGCCGAATAATAGTAAGGGTGTATGAGAAAAAGTGTCGCTGCGGATTGCAAAAAATTCTAAAGCAAAATTAGTTGTTGCAGACTATACATTAGACTGGCAAGTGGTCTGTAGAGCTCAACTAAAACGCTATATCTTTGTATATTATATTAAACTTTATTCCATCTTGGTATTTAACTAGAGTATCTAACCTCACTAGATATACATAACATAAGCTACATTCTCAAGACCCGTTTAGGTTTTTGATCATTGCGCATTCGCTGGAAACTGCATAGCCGATGAGTTACCTAGAGTGGGCACCTTGCCTGGCTCACAACGGAATGGGAACTAGTTGGATCCCGTTGTCATCGTGAGCTTACCAGTCGTTCGTTAACCACCAGCCTCTGCGTGACTGCGAGATTTTTTGATCTAGAGTAAAACATAGGAGAACTACTAGCATACTTGTTCTTAACTATGTCCACCTATAGGCTATCATTTAATAGCTTGGCGATACAACTCAAATTGCAATGACGGACATAAAGAGGCTATGAATTGCTTTGGTTTGGGTTATCAATATACGATGAAACATATGCTTAGACATTTGCTTTTTATCAACCAAAGCCAAAAGATTTGGAGAAACTATATGAAAAATTAATTAATTTACATTCCAGTTCCTGAAAATAATATCATCCGAATCAACGGTTACATCGCTCCGGTTTTTAAACAAACTAAATCAATTCGCACGGATTGACTTGAGAATATCGTTCGGTATCAGTGAAATGCTTGAACTGAACTGGTTCTAAGAAATTCTAAGAAGATTTTTATGCGTAATCTGTTCGAATCTGCACAGTTTCATGAGACATCATATACCATATGGATGCTGTAACTACTGATAAAAGATAAAAGATGATTCAACTCTATGAATTTGGAGGAGGTGCTTATGACTTTTGAGGTAATAGGAATAATTTACATCTGACAATTTTATATCAAGAGTTCTAACAAGTATTCTGGTAGCGTACTGAATTTAGATTCCAACGGAATGGTCAAGTTAGTGTTTCTCTTCATTCTTTGAAATCGGTTGGTTGAAAGGCGCAGTTAGGCCCTCCCTATCGAGAAAAGTAGTAGTTCACAGATCAAGGTGACCTAAAGCAAAGGGGATAGAATGACTCTTTTCGGAATTCCACAAAGGATCTAATGAGCGATTTTTAAACCCACGCCATTGTATATTATATAACTTGTCTATTACTTAGCATATGACTTAACCAGGCCAATAGGTTAATGTCAAAAAACCGGTATCAGTACCTCCATGAATGAATGCCACAAAGGTAAATTTTAGTTTTTTAAAGAACTTTTGATTGTTTCAACTACCTCCTGTAGGACGATATGTTAGGATTTGTGGGTTCATGAGATCGTCGAATATCTTCTTTACCCTTTTTAGTAGGAAGGATGTTAGGTTGGTCGGTCTGTATGATTTTGGCAGGAGTAGTTCTCCTTTCCCGGGTTCGGTTGAACACTTCGGTCGCTTGCCATCTACTTAGCGTGTAACCTATACAAGCACTACAAATATTAGCAACACCACGAGACAGTAGATCTGCCCAGCTGGTTGATGTCCTCGTGAAAGTAAAGAATGACAGCTAACATCACCGCCGTCCAAGAACAGCGATGGACAGTATAAAGACGAGACGAGTAGGTCTTTGTGACATTTACTACAGCAACCATATAAAGGAGTCTTGTTGTAGGATTCCAGACCGGAGCAAAACTCTTTTAGAATCCTTAGAGGGGATCTAGTGACCAATGAGTGAGGGAACACTTCTCCAGTCTGCTGAATGGCAGTAAGCCATTGCAGATGCTGAACCCGATTCCCCAATAGATTGTGTAAGAGCAGACGTTCCATTACTTGACCATGAGGGAGTTCAAATAGCAATTACCCACGTGAAAAACAACAAAGCGGCGTAAAATATAGTGCGACGAAAGCATGCCTAACCCTGCCATTATGCAAAATGTACCCTAGGTCGCAGGGCAATCCTCATTCATTTATCTTTGCCTGACGATTGGAATTTAAATGTACTGTGCCCAATCATAAGCCTCCTCAACATCGCATATAAGTTTCTATCGAGCTTACTGTGTGAAAGATTAAAGCCCATCGTCAACAAACTGATTGAATGTGACCTTATCAGTCTGGCTTCAGGCCTGGAGAAACAACAACTGACGAAGGAAAGGAAAGACGCATGAATAGAGGATCGACACACACCTCCTCTTCGTCGAATGTTTGCGATTTAATAGCCGCCAGTGGAAGCAGAGGAAGATCTTCACTTAGTTTTGAGATCAGGTGGAGAAGGATCTAGCTTGGTTGCTCGAAATGGCGCCACCGACTAACGCAATGTTATTAATTTAGCTATAACTTCGTAAACGTTGTCTGCGCCAGTAAAGAAGAAGAATTTACAGACGTGCCTTTGACTCAAACCCATCAGGTTGACAATTATTATTAATATTATGGAATTAACTCATAAGATGTAGCTTCTTCATTTAGAACTACCATTACGTGAAGTTGTTGACGAATTTTATGTTCTTATGACCGAAGAATGTTCGTGTAACAACGGCAACAAGATCGAAGATCTGTTCTTCCATTAGACGGTTCCTTTAGCCGGAACGAATGTAGTTTAGAGCCACTGAAGAATTGTCTTTTCAGCAGCGATCCAAAAAGTTGCTCATTCGAAAATATTTTATGCAACGTAGAACAACATCAACAAAACTGGATTTCCACGGTATGAAGTAAGCTCGTTACGTTTCAGGGTGCAGCTTGTATATCATAAAGTCCATGTAATGATCCAGGCGCTGTTTGAGCCATTCTACATTATCATCTACTGACAATGAAAGTCAACAGTTGTAACAACACCAACAACCAGTGAATAAATCCCGCATCAATAAGTGGTAAATAAAGAGAGGTCCAACTTCGCGTTCAACATCAAATTTGATAAGATAAAAATCAATGATGAATCGTATGACAATAAGACAGTTATCAGACATAGTACATATGCACGAGTGTGTGTGCGTTTCATAAATATATAATCAAGATAATAGTGCAAACAAAGCGCGTAGCGAATCTTCAAGTATTTCAAGCACTCGACTGGCACTTGGCCATTAGTTAGCAATTACAATTGCATTTGTGATGTTCCAATTCCAATGAGTGCACAATTGTTTGTAGACCCCGACCCGCACCGTAAACAGGCCATAATGCTGCGCATACTCTTCGGCTTGGCCCTTGCGGGCGCTGTGTCAGGCGACGATGCACAAGTTGAGTGTAAGTTGTAGGCCGAAAAAGTGCGAAAGTGTAAATAAATACAAGTGTTCCCCCAGATCCCTACTGTTTTCGCTTCACCTGGATCGGTCCCTATCAAGATAAGAAGCATATTGGCGGTTTGACTTGTGAGCACTTGCGTGAGGACTTCAAAAATGTGCCGTGCCGACGGCCACTAGTGGCAACAGGTGAGTGCAATGCAAGTGTTGATAGACTAGATGCGAAAATTGAGAAATAAAGGTTGTCAAAAAAGTCTTGCGGTATTTTTTATTGAATTTTCAAGTGTTCATAAAAAAAATCATGCCCAGCTCTTGACCGATGCTACGGCAGCTACTATGCCGGTCTCATTCAACCAATTCAGCGATGCTGAAAATATGCCGTATTTTCTCTTTATTTTGCTCCATGTTTGCGACGCTATAACTCACGAACGACGTAAAAGAAACGACAATCAATCAATGTTTGTGCGTGAAATGAGCTTTCCAAAAAGGTATAGCATAACCCGATGCGACAAATAAAACTAGAACTACGCGCTCTCAGCACCAACCAGCGAAAATACTGCAAGACTTTTTTGACAACCTAATATTTCATGTTCTCAACAGCCCAAAAGTGACAGCAAACCGTTGTTTTTTCTGGATGAATTGACAGCTCTTGAGTTTCTTCAAGTTGCGCTTCATCCCAAATGCGGCAATTTTGCTTGTTCACATACCGACTGAGACAGAAATGGGCCGCATCGCTGAACAAAATTTGGCTCGAAAAGTCGGATCGTCTTGGAACTTTTCAGCAGCCCATAAAGCGAAGCAAAGTCGCTTGGGAAGGTCGAGCGACTTTAGTTCTTACACAAGCTGTACGCTTTCGATTTAAGATGTCGACGTAAAATTCGCAAAGTCGTTCCATAGACAAGTCCGAGTTGCTGCGAACGGCGCCGAATTGACTCTCCACATTTACATTTTCTTCACTAAATTTTTATCCTATTTTAATTTTTTGCATGCCATGCCATCTGCAGATAATGATGCCATACCGGACACAGTCGATTTGTGGCGTCATAATTACAAACAGCCGAACGCCTTTGGTTGCCCCATGGTGCCGGGAGAGACGTGCGTCAAATACACATATACCTACAACAAGGGAGGTCGGTAAAGCCGTTATACAGTTATATGTATTTTGTATCTTCATTCACGCTGTGCAACTCTGCTTTCTTCATTTTTAGTGCAAAACATCACTTATATGTGCGCGAAGGTGAACGCCTCCAGCGGTTGCTATCGCCAGAAGTACATTTCCGGCTTGGAGGTGGAGGTGTGTGTCTGCGATTCGCAGCTGGGACGCATGCCTTGCAATCGCGCCGCGTACTCATGTCGGCATCTACTCAAAAACGGCATATTGTTGTTGCTTTTAGGCGGGATTTCACTCATTTGGCTTTAATTAGTGGCGGCACTGTAAATATTTTCAACTTTCTAACAGTAAAGTCAGTTCGAATCAGTAAGGTAGAGTACGTAAGCGCGGAAACACGAATTAAATACACTCGCAAATACTAAAAATGAAAAATTGTGAATTATTTCGAGATAAGATATTTGGAAACAGGTAGTACTATGCGTTAGTAGGCCTAATTACGGAACCCCTACACCCGTTTTTGGTAGTACCTTATTCCTTAGTATCCTTGATTTACCGATACAATGACGGAATAAAGTCAACAGGAAGTAGGAAACTCACTTTATTGCTTATATGAGTGCTATGAAAAGGTATAAGTCGATCATTGTCATTTTCGATTCGAAATCAACTTATGCGAAGAACGATATTTTCGAATAGTTCTGATTAAGATTTCTGTGATAATAGTCGATATACCGTACAAAGTTAACCGGAGATTCGAAATGTCGAGAGGAGTTTCTAGTACTCATCCGCACTGTGATAATCTAATTATGATCAGAGAGGCGGAACCCAGCCTGCAGTCTCCTGTTTGAAGCAGAGCCGTCTTTTAGGAACATCAGGAGAACATTTCGAAGAACTGCAACAATATATCGGCTGAATTTCGTATGCGACCAATTTCCGACGAGTACTGAACCCCAATTACAATGAAGCAATTAGCCACGTGATTGACTCTCTCCCAGTGAAAGCCATACTTGAGGTCCAAAAATTACTCATAGCATAACAAGAGTTCGAGACGCGTGAAACAAGGATGACTCTAGCGCAGATTAGAGCAGGTTAATCTTCTATTTATCTAGAATAGAGCCGTCCATGCTATTCCCAAGGTAGAAAGGAAGGATTACGCGCTGGCCAAACCTTTCAGGGCAATTAGTCTTACTTCTTTCATGATAAAAGGGATGGAAGAGATTGTAGACAACAATATGTAAGCTCGAAGGCGCAGAAAATCGCACCCCTATACGCCAGTCAGAAGGCGTACCGAGCCGGCAGATCCACTAGCACTATTCTTTACCAACTCACGTCTGATGAAGATACTTTTGATAATACGTCCCAGGCAAGCGCTAACAAGGCACTGAAGAAAAGCAATGTGGCGGCTCCAGTATGCAGATGAATAGAGGCTGTACTGCGAACTAGGATAGCTAAAACCTCTATGGGGAGAGTAAGATTTGTCTTGTTACTAGGAGGAACTCTCCGAAGGGTTAAGGACATGTGATATGCAGACGCCTAGCCCTAGTGCTGGGGTTGCAAGTCAGCTATCGTCAGGTGAAATGATTCCACACTTGACCCACAACTGAGAGCCAGCACAATCTATCGGTACACTGACGGCTCGACAACACCAGAAGACATTGAAACAGGCATTGAGGGACCGCATAGCAAACTATTCATACCAATGGCACGTTTTCCGATCATCTTTCAAGCAGAATTCTTTACTATAAGTCAGTGTGCAGAAATCAATCTTCATCGCAACCAACGTAACGCGAAACTTAGCGATAGTCAAGCGGCACTAAAAGCGATCTCAGCTTATGAAGTGAAATCGCTTTTATTGGAAGAGTGTACACCTGATCTGGATGCCGTGGCATAAAATGGTAACCGGCAATAAGCTGGCCGACGAACTAGCTGTGACAGCGTCCAACGTCTCGTTGTGGAAGCAGGCTCAAAGCTCTAGGTTCCATATAAGTGGACAGGTATCACATCACCTCAGTCGCGCCCAGCAAGCGCCTGGAATTGTTCAGAGTGTTGGACTTTTGTGACCACATGTAATATAGGAGAGGGCACAATAGAACACAGTTAACAACCTGTCGAAACAGGCTCGTTTCCTGAGCCTACCGCGAAGTGAGTTGATGGCATTCTCCTTGAAATGAGTTGAAGAATGCCTTCTGTCGCCACAAAAACATTTAAGTGACGGTTCTCACTTCATTCGGGTCTAAGTAACCGGAACGGACACGAATTTCTATCTGACCAAGGCCTGTCAACTCGACACCTTTCAACGAAATTTCTTCAGAAACGTGTTCTGCCACTACAACAACAATAATAACAGTTAACATATTGCTTTCTCCCGAAGAAGGGTCCAGACAATCGGTACAAGAACAACGGAAATAAAACTAGAAGCCGAAATATTATTTTATTCCATATATAAACGATGCGGAGGGGCATATACCGTTGCGAGAGTATGAAAAAGTTATTAAAACATTTGTTTGTAAATAAAATTTATTTCATTTTATTTGCTACAATTAATGAAATGTGTGGCACTCAATCTGCTTCCTGTTCATTATCATCATCATCATCATCGGTGGGCTTTTTCAAGCTGCCAAACACCTTCGCCGGTATGGCTTGTTGTTCGATGCGCAAACGCTTCGCCGAAATGACGTTCTCCTCATTGCCGCCACGCTTTTGTGTGCCATTTGCAGCGCCCTCAGCCTCCTCATCGACGTCTTCGTCCTCGTCTTCATCGCTATCGCCAATATCGATTTCATCTGGATTCACTACCTTGTCCTTGGCGTTGCCACCTTGCGTCTCGCCGCGCACAAACATAATATTGCTGCTGGTTTGCGGCTTAAGTGTTTGCTGTTGACGTGCCTGTTGCTCTGCCGCTGCCTTAGCCTCGAGCAGACGCATAGCATCACCAGCGCCCTCTGCGTTGGCACCGCCGGCAGTTGGTTGATTGAGAAACTGTGCGGCCATCATGTTCACTTGCGTGTTGTAGGTGGCCTGCACGGAGCGTTTGATGCGCAACATTTCGCGCATTGTGTCCTCATTGCCATGACGCACCTCAAACTCTTTCCAGGTTTGCCAAAAGTCGGCGGTTATGCGGGGATCACATACCTGTGGATGCATGGGGAACGCAAATATTTATATAATTACAATTGAATGAAATATAATAAATTTGTTCACCTGTGAGCAATGTGCATAAATGGCGCGTGCGCGGTCAATCTCGCCCAGCTTCGTTTCCATCTCCGCAAAGCGCACACACATCGGGCGCATATTCTCCTCGGGCAATGCTTCGACGGCCTTTTCATAAATTTCACGCGTACGCGGCAGCCCATAAATCTCCGCGGCCTTCTTTATGAATATGTTATACATGTCGAACATTTCTTCGGGCTTGACAGCGCTGGTGGCGCGATCATAGACAGCCATAGCGTGACGCGCCAAACCGTGTTCCTCCTCCAACTTCGCATACAACAGATAGAAGTACTTGGCATGCTCAGGCGGACAATTCTCCAGACACTGTTCGAAAAGATCGCGCGCACGCTCCAATTTTGCACCGCCATAACGTTTGAGAAACTTTGTCAAATAAGCATTCCATATGTCATAGACATTTGGCCATTTGAAGAGCGCAATGCCTTTTTCATAGGCGCGAAAAGCTTCCTCGAAGTAGTTGTGCTCCTCCAAGAAGAGGCCGTAGTTGATGATAATTTGCGGTGTGCAGATTTTCAAGTCGATTATGCGATCATATACGGCTTTGCATGTTTTGAAGGTGCCAAAAGATTCCTCCAAATCGGCATACATGGACCACACCTTCAGCGAGCGATATAAACGCATTTGCACTGTCTCGGTATCGTCATGATATGCCACTTTACGTTTCGGCATTGCAGTGGCTTTTTGCATCAAACGTAGAGCGCCCTCAAAGTTCTCCTGTCTAACAACAGAAAGAGAAAAATAATCTATTAGACAATTTGCTGGGAATAAATTTATCGTTTATAACATACCTGATTTCCATTTCCGCCCATTCACACCACACCGCCGCTAGATCCTCCACTTTCACATACTCCACCTCAGTGCCACGCTCGAAGACCACACGCGCGTCCTCCACTTGATCATTTGATTCGTAAAATTTAGCGAATTCCACCCATAATGTATGTAGTTTACCCGCCGCCAACTTTGGTTGCACTGTCTGCACGGCTTCGGTGTATGTATTGATTATTTCGTGCGGCTTGCCTTCGTATAACTTTACACGCTTGTGCCACTCATGCACATTATGTGGATTCTGACGCAGTAGCACGCTATTCAATAGCAACAGCCGTCGCTCCATAAGATATTCGAAGCGTGCCAAGCGCAATTCGACATCGATGTCGTCGTCTTCGGTGGCGTGTGGATCGTTCGCGACCATTTCCATGCGTTTATTCAAAGACACCTCCTCGAATTGCGCATACTCGTCGAACACTTGCGTGAAATCGCGCACTGTGGTCACGGTTTGTATTGCTTCCTCATAAATATCGCGTGCGCGATCGAAGAGACCCGAGCGTACGTAGTAATCAGCTAAAGAATTCCAGAGATGACCGAGCTGATCAGTGTAACTAAATAAAAGAAAACGAATAGATAGATAAAGAGCACAAGTATTTACATATACAAACCGTCTGAGGCCGCTGCGTATAATAGCGTCTACATTCAATGAATGCACTTTGTGGGGATTTTTCGAAATCAAATCGCACAGCTCATTCCACAACTGATGGTTGGACTTTCCATGTTTCGATACGAAATGCTCATTGTCCACCACTGAAGCCAATTGCTGTGCTGCTTCATCTAAACGCTCGACATCAATTAAATACTCTATATACTCTTCAGCATCTTCGGGAAACAGTTTCAGATAGCGCCGATAGATGCGTAATGCTGTTTCCGGTATATCGAAACGTCGCACAAATTTCAAATAAAGCGGCCAAATGCGATGATGCTGCGTAATGGGCAATGCACGTAAAGCGCGATCAAACACGTGCCTTGTACGTGTAATGCGACACTGCGTCGTCATAAAAACACCATAATCCATCCAAATGCGAGGCATTTTGTGCATGAACACCAGTGCTCTTTCGAAAGTGTTGTTCACTTCATCATACATTGGATCATTAAGTGGGCGTCCACGTACTTGCTTACGACGTGTACGTAAATAATTATACCAAATTTTGTAGCTACCCGGCAGCTCCTTGAGTGCACGCTCATATACAATATTTACGCCACAATTGGGCGCCTTCGATTTGTGCTCAATGTAACGAAGCCAATGTTTTACCGAATAAGCATTTCGCAGAATCTCCTCCTCGTAGGGCACATCCTCTTCAGGCTGTGAAAAGATTTTAAATTTAATAGTGAAAGTTGGCATTAAAACAAGGCCGCCGAAAATAAAAGTAAGACTTTTGGCGTTTGATATACTTACAAAATCGATATCCACTGTAATCAATGGCTTATCAATAAGAGTCATTTTAATATTTAAACAAAATTTTTGAACATAAATTATTTTTTTAACAAATATAACACAATCGTATAAAATGCGATAAAATTTGCAAGGAATGCTTATTTTCCGATCAGCTGTTCTGACTGATGGTTAAAAACGCAGCAGTGTTGGAAAATGTTACATATATAATGACGGCAGTCAATTTTAATAGATTTCTCATATTATATAAAACAAGTAGACACAATTACTAAAAAATAATAAAAAATCAATTTAATAGTACCACTATAAAAGGGCTCTTATCAAATATATAGCAAATATTACATATTTACCTCATGTTACACAATTATGTAACAGTTATTTCATAACTATCCTGATATACAAACCTAATTGCGTTTACCATAATTATTGCTAACAATACCGGGTGTTCCAGAAAAACAAAATAAATTAAATAAGATATTACAGTAGGTACTTATATTTATTTTAAATAAAGAATATATTGTATAGTGAGGACATTAATATAAATAATCAAATTATTTTATATAAACGTTAATATTTGCTATAAAAACTTCAGTGAATGTTAATTAGTATATATGTTTATTCTTAGTGTTAAATCCAATGCAATTCGACTTTGCTTTGTACTCAGAGTTGCCGTTGGAGCTGCAAAATAACAATAAACACGCAACCCTAGTGAATTTTCTGATTTTGCTTTGTTGAACAGTTTTCTATAGATTTTTGATGTGCCCGGTTGGAGTAAAGCTAAAGTTTTAATTTTGTATGCCGCTTAGGACATAGAAAAGTCATTAACGTTGGAACCAGTTTGTGTAAATAAAATCTAACAAAGCGTATATGCAATATGTGACTAATATATAGTAGAACAGTTGTCTAAGAAATACATAATCTAAGAATTGTGTGAGTGAGTGTGGATTATAAAGTCTACTGTTAAACTAGAGATTAGCAGATAGCAAAAGTGTATGTCTACTACACATCTCAATTTAAAGTTTAATGTGAAGAGTGCTTAAACAAAGTCACCGAAAATATAAAGTTTCGAAAGCACATGATATTGCATTAAAAGCAAAGTGCAGCACAATTAAATAGCAAAGTTGGTTGACGGGTTCGTCCGGATTGCTTCAGCGCAGTCATGCCTTATCGCTGTTCTTTTGTATGTTTGTGTAGAGTTTAAACAAACTGCTTCCTTTTGAGTTTTTGAACAAATTAAACCAAAATAAAAGAGGCATTTGTATACGGCATCTGCATTTAACAAAATTTAGCAACTAATCGCACCAAAGGATGCACTTTCTCCATGCCTTGTATTTGTAGTTTTACTTATGGCTGTAGTAGCTCCTATGCGTGTATGTGTTGATTTTGACGTTTCAAACCAAGGCAAACAACCACTGCTAATGTTTATTTCAACCTTTAACCATACTCAACTTTTGGCGTTTGTTTGTAATACTTTAGTATTTTAAATTTTGCTGTTCAGGCAGGTTAAAAATAAAAGTATGTGCAAAAAAGCATTTGTTACAAAATGAAGTTGTGCAGAAGTGTGTTTAGTACATAAGAAATCTTCTAATCCGCCAGTGTAAACTTAAATATATTTTTTTCAGTTGTAAACTTCATCGCAGTGCAGAATGTAATTTTTAATAAGAGATAAGTGATTTCAAAAGGAGCTAAAAATAATAGAGCAATCACGAACGTCAGTTTCAATTTCATTCAATTTCTTCTTTACATTTAAACCAGTTGTGTTGAAGCCAGAAAAAGTGAAATAAATAAAATAGAGCAGTTTCAAACTACGTACGGAATACAGCAGCAAGGTTTGTACACATTTTATATGAATTATATTGTAGAGATTAATATTATTATTTATTTCGAAGTGTACATACATATTTGTATATTAATTAGCTGTTAATATTTAATTATTTGATTTTATTTTCTTTATATTGTTTTGTAAAACATTAAGTAAGATTAAAAATAGTCTTTCTTTCAAATTGAAATCACTAATTTTACTCTGTGGTACAATTTCAAAAATATGCTTCTAAATTTTGTAATTACGTTTTAAAAGCTAAATATAAAGAAGTAAGAACAAGTATAAAGATCCAGATAAACATCCCAGCCAAATGTTTTTTAATGACAATCGGAGTTGCGAAATTCATAATAAAAAAATTTGGGCTAAAACTTATATTTTAAAATTTAGTTCGATTTTTGAGATTAAAAATTAAATTTCAATGCATTTAAAATGTTTTGAAATAATAATTGAGAAAATATTTATTTTTCTTTAAATTGAAGTAACAAATAAAATTTATTATTCAAATTCATTGCTGGAATGCAAACGGATAAAACTAGAAAGATTTAAATGTTTCTAACTGAAAAATTATACTTAAAAGCAATTAAGTACAAATAAGACAAAAGAAATATTAAATGCTAATATGTTATTAAAAAAATAAGCTTACCTTTTCAAAATATATGTATATATACATATAAAGATACACATCTATGCTGTCTCTTATACACATCTAGATGTGTATAAGAGACAGATATATATACATATTTTTTTTTTCTCAAAAGCTTAATTTTTTTTTTTGTTAGTTTTTGCTTTTGTTCAATAAATACAAATTATTTTTAATTTATATTTTCGAGTTGTTATTTTATAAAAAATAAGTTTTCTTTTCGAAATATAATATAATCAAAAATAAGTTACAAAGTCAAAAAATATGCATTATACACTTTTTTTCGTTTTCCTTAAAAGTTTGGGCTTGAAATTTTTTGTTCGTTCAATCATATTTTTTTTGCTCAGTATATAAATATTTTTTTTAATAAACATTTTTGGTGTTACCAAAAAATAAAAAATTAATACTGTAATTTATTTTGAGTGCCCAATGTTCAACTCTAATGGCAACCATATTCATAAATTTATCTTTTCGCGATTCTGCTCTTGTTCTCTCTTTCATCCATACGCTCTCTTTGTGCAATCTGATTTTGGCCAATTAGTCGTCCTTTCTGTTGAGTGGCGCCTTCATGATTCTCACCTACATTAGACCGTCTTACGCTGTATTGTCTAATATTAAGTACATGTGTTTGTCGTTAACAGGGTTACCGGTCGCCAATGCTTATCTTCCTACCCAATGTGAATAGGCACACGCGCTGCTGACTAAAATAACATCAAAAATTATATTTTGGCGGTTTTAATGTATTGAAGTGTGAAAAGGCTAGCAGCAAACCTTTAATGACTACTAAACAAAGTAACCCTTAATAGTTCAAATCAGCATAATTATGACATAAGCCGAATGTGAAGTACCTTAAAATATCTTATAATAGCTATAATGTACTCTGTAAAGTTGGCTAGACATTGTAATGGCATGAAGGTATGATATAGAGTGCTCCAGAAGATATAGCAACTCATTAAAGTTTTATTTTCTTTAGCGTCGCTTGTGAAATAGAAATTAAAGCGTATGTTTACGAAAACACCTAATGCATTAGCATCAACATTAATGATTTTCAATGTAATTCTGCATAATTTATCATCTTCCTGTGATATATTGCTTTTAGACTTGTAAAATTTTTTAATAAAATCGAGGACAGAAGCCTTCATCTGTTTGTCTCTTTGTTTGTTTCGAGTTTTCCTTATTTCCAAATTTGATGTCTACCTTAATTTTTCAATAATTATTTTTATTTCCTCCAAAATTTTTTTCGACTGTATTAAAATTTTTTGATTAATACAGCCATAGTTGGCTCCTGTCATCCATTATAGTTCTCTCTTATAAATTAAAATTACTCTTGCACGGTTCCTTCTCTGTATTCCTCCCTATATGTTCCCTTAAACGGATCGAATATGCGCGGAATGAGTGTATGAGTCGAGAAAACGAGTTGCCACCATTGTCGTGGTCAATACTAGAGAATGGATTCAGGTTTTATTTGAATTGATATACATAGATATGTATGTATGTATGTAGCTTTTCGTGGAACAAGAAACTTGTTGTCCTCGTCAGTTTTTTTTTTATGTTGCCACTAACGAGTAGTTTGCGGCACAGTGGGGCAAAATGCAAAAAGATTTTAATTAAAAACTTCAATTTATAAAAAGACATTATAAATATCATAAATACATAGATAATAATAAAATTTAAAAACGTACATATATGTGTTTATATATAATTTTGATAAAGTCCAATATGCTGCTGTGCTAGCGAAGCGTTGTGATCCCTATTTGGAAAGATGTATCTAAGAGCAATTTTTGCAAGACGCTAAGCCCATGTTATGTAAGTGCTTCTTCAGCTTGCAGGCGACAGTGTAGAATGCGACCCTGGGGAGGCTGATCGCATATTTAAATCTGCTGAGATTATATTCGTATCCCACCATTAGCAACTTGGCATACCTTATGCCTTGTAGTTGGTGCCAAAGCCTCCCTCTGCCTATTCCGTCTTGCTTGCGGAGCAACTCTTTTATTGTATGGGGACCCACCACAGTGACGGGTTTAGGTCCTACCATAATGCGAAGCGGGCGATCTCATCAGCCAGTTTCTTACCGGCTATACCTTTGTGACCATATTGTATTATACAACCACCTAACGATCCTTGGCTTGCAGCCCCAGGATTCCCTATATGATAAATAAGATTATCTAGGTTGTCGTCGATCACCATCTAACGGGTGGTCCAAAAAACGTGCTGTTTCGACGGTATCGGACCAAAGGGGAAAAAAGTTTCAGCCCCTTTACACCACCCTTTAGCCAGGTATAAACCTCTTTGTATTAAGTGACAAAGTGTGTCCTCGAATTTCTCTCTCCTCAAGCTTTAATGACAATGCTATCCGCGTAACCTTGACCAGGGGTCCCGTTGTCCTTGTTCTCCTACCGTCGTATTCTGGTGCGTAGTACGGCCTCTATCCATCTGCGCAAAGGCGCTGGCACATTCCTTTTCTCCTGCCTAGGCTACGCTCTTGTGAGACGTGTTGTCGAAAGCACCTTCCATGCCTAAGAAGGCGTATCGCGTCACTTCCCCTCCTTTCAGCGAACTCTCTATCTCCCTCCGGGGTGCAATTTTCAGTGCCTTCGTTTTTATTTCCTAATCCACGAGCTTTTCCATACTTTTTAGTAAAAAGGAAGTTAGACTAATTGGCCCGAAGGATTTTGCCAGTGAATAGTCCTACCTTCCTACCTTGGGTATAAGGATCACCTTCGCGGACCTCCATATTTCAGGATAATAGCGGTATATTAGACCGAGACATAAATCCTTTGAACGCTTTACCAGCTTTATATCATTCCATATATTTTATTCACACATTAACTACTGTCGTTCAAAATCTTGAATGGCTAGGCGGCAGCAACAGCACACACACTCACATACCGCCATAATTGGTCCACGATGCCGGTTACTCGCAAAACCTTTGATACCTACGACTGCATATACATAGATAAACACATACATCTTCACGTAGTAGGTAGATACACACAATTACCGCCTAAGCTTGCACAGTAGGCGGCCGCCAACGAACTTCTGAGCTGTTGGCCTGCTCCTGCCCATAACTACCTAGCGTTGTTGGCGGAGAGTATTTGCGAAGTTGTTGTGTGCTAGCGTATGCGCGAACTCACTACGGGCTCTCTAGTTTCAGCTTTCGCTCTCATTTCTCAATATTTAGGCTCCAACAGCGCCAACTCCTCGTACAAATGATGGCTGTGTGTGTGTGTGTTGCAAAAACATAAAACAAAAATAATTTTCACTGCTGAGTGCATTTGTCAGCTGCTGGACTCTTTTTGTTGTTGTTTCATCTTTTTGCTTTTCCTTGCGAATATCCACTTCAAGCTGGGATGCCTACTCCACGCCGAACGAACGACTGAAGTCAGTTTCAGTTCGACGGAGTGCACTCGCACAATTCGGTACAAGTTGCGGTTTGTGTAGCAGAAATTTTTTTTAGCGAAAATACCCAAAATGCTTACACATACACACACGTACAGTATACATGGAGAGTGATACCATTCACTGAAGTGAAGTGATGTGAGGGAAAGATGTGTAAGCTATTAAAACGTGTAACGGTGAAATTCTCGTTAAATCAAATAAAGTGTTAAAAAAAACAACAACAACCTACACATATCCAGCTTTAATGTTGCGTATCTGCAGTACGCAAAAAAAGTTTCGTTGAAAAATCAATGCAAATCAAATTTCATATATCAAATTCTGCTTGCAAAGAAGTGTAAGAAATATAAATGATAGCGCAAAAAATAATGAATAAGCAAAGCAGTGGAATATTTTTCAGTACAAAATTGTAGTTTGTGAAAGTTAAGTGCAGCACATAGTACATGTACCTTTGAAATTACATTTTTATGTGTGGACCCATAATACGAGTATAATAACAACAAAAAGTACCTTTCCACATACTCAGTGAAATCGGCATCAAAAACTCAACAGTGAAAATGGTAATTTTTCACAAATTTTGTATATCATTTACCACAAACTTATTTCGGGGCACATTACCCATATATAATATATATATATATGTATTTGCTGTATGTATTATGTATGTTTGGCAGTGTTGTATCGGTATGCGTAATTGGCGTAACTATACGCAAAAGTGCTTCGGCGGCATACATATCTAAATCGTGCTGCTACTACGCTCGTATTTTTTCCTGCCACAAACGAAGGGCTCTGGCAGGAGCGAGTGGTGTTGCAGCAGAATATAGAGAGTTCTACATTTGGTGTTTGAAATTATAATTTTAATGAAATTTGTAAACTATGTGTGTCATTTATTTTTATAGTTTCATTAAAAATATTAATATATTAAGTTTTTTTTTCGAAATTTCTTATATTACATATTTCCATGGTTGTTT